AACCAGGTGTTACGTATTTGGCAATAGTGCGCTATTGTATGGTAGTCCAAACTTTATACAACGTAGTTTCAATTAACAGATAAGAAGAAAATTTTGATAAATTTTTATGTTAATCTATGTCATTTTTATGTTATGAGTTTCCAAACTGCCTTTTGCAATGACAGTATTCACTTTACAAGTTATTTAAAGAAGAGAATAAAAAACTTGTTCATCCCTTAATTACTATAATGAGAAAAAGCATTAACTACTTTGTCCCTTATGTTAAATGTTGCTAAAATATTCGAGGTGTGAGGGTAAAAAAAACATTTATCTTTTTATTATATACTAAATGAAATGAGTTCGAGTTCGTATTATTTATTCTCGTATTATTTATAATATACGAGGTTATTAGCAACTCTTATAGTATTATATTCAATGCACAAGAGAATATATCCCGTACATCATATCTCCGTGAACATTAACTTCCTTGTACGAAGTAAAAGAAGTATTGTAATCGCAAAAATTTCGGATATCATATTTCAACGAAAATATATATTTTGACCGCTCTTGAATCCATCTGAAAGATGTTTCTCCATGCCATCTGTATGTACGGACAGAATGAATGTTTCTGTTTTCCCAAAAGGGATTAAAAATGGATTCAGAAGAAAGTTTTTCAGTGACATCTGTACGTACGTAGATATGTATAAATTTATGTCGCATAACTAAAAAATGAGTAGCTTCAGAATGTTGAACTTTTGTATATGAGACTGCTATAACATGTAGTTGTGCACCTCCTTTTTTGGTTGCAATCGGCTGTACCAAAATTATATATATATATATACCCACTCTGTTACTCGACTTATTGAGCTTTTTTTTTTATCCTTATGCGTGGTAAATTGTGCATTCTTTGCTTTGAAAGTGATTGAATTACGTCGTTCTTTTGATTTGGCTAAGGCTTTTTTTTTTTTTTTTTTTTTTTTTTTTTTTGCCTTTAGTTTTTTGAACGCAATAGCTGTAGAATTATCAACAATTCAAAAGTTGTTTAAGTGTGACGAAGCATAACGGAGCAGTCATTCGTTTACATTTGAAACTTAGCAGAATAGTGAATCAGTTTCTATACGTTCAGCGATTTTTTGCTGAGTGGGACCAGAAGTAAATTTTCAGTTTTGTTCACCGAAAAATCTGCTTTCTTGCCCGTTGGCCGTATTGCTTTTTTTTGCGTAGAAACTCCAATTTTCATTTTAAAAAGATTTTTTAACTGTTTTAATTGTATTTGGTATTTATGTTTTTCTCTACTTTTAAATTTTTAAAGAATATGTTTTGAGTTTTTATGTATTTCTGCCTTGCCGCGAAGTGAGAACTGAATTAATTGAATGAAAAACTACATTTCTAATAATGAAATTTTAAGTAATAAGTTTAAATGAAATGCAGCAAAAAATGTGTATGATTAATTAGGCCATATATGGACATCATGAATTGTCCACATTAGATTTGTTACTATTAAAAAGTATAGAATCGGAAGCTGTAGAAACATTTTTGAAGATAGAACTATAAGAAATTTATTATAACAAATATTTTCATACAAATTCAAAACACTTTATAATATTTTTAAAAACAAAGAGCAGTAAGATTTGATTAAAGATTATAAAATAGAAAAATAATGTCACCTGGTTATTAGCAACTCCTATAGTATTATAATTAACAAGGGAATATATCAGTATGTGGTGTCTCATAGTTACTCATATAGTTACTCATTAGAAACTCATATAGTATTATATTCAATACAGAAAAGAATATATCCAGTAAATCATTTCTCTGTGAGGTATGTTAGGCAAATTTTAGAAAGTTTTTTACTAATCAAAAATAGAGATTCGACGGCTATAGGAATAGTTTTGAAGATAGAAATATTTATTCCGTTAAACTATCTTCATATTTGTTTAGAACATTTTAAACTGTATTAAACAGAAGATAATAAAAAAAGGTATTAAGAAACAGAAAGAAACATTAGTAAACATAAGGTAATACGAATTGGACTAAAATTATAAAATAGGAAAGTAAGGTCAGCTAGTTTATCGATTGAAATATTAACAAATTCCTAATTTTCTTGATTAGCTAATGGGTATATAAATATGATTCTTTCCTTTTGCAGTAGATGACATTAGTCTTCTCGCCCGCAGATGAATGTAGGAATATGTGTGTTACAGAGGCTTCAAAGTAAGCTTTAATAAGCCTGTTAGCCTCAGGCATTTGTTTAAAGCGTAAAAAGCAATTATTTTCCCCTAATTAAAAATATCGATCTTTGTGCCAAAAACAGCATTTGAGGGAAGATTTACTTTACTGCTTCATTACAAAGAAAACTGCAGAAGAGTTGTAATGTTTGCATTTAGAAATGCCTGGTAAACATGCTTCACTCAATGCAGGTTGTAAAGAGTGGTTTCGACGATTTAAACAATAATTTCAATGCGCATGACAAAGAACGTGGAAACCACTAAAAAACCTCAAGAAGAAGTATTGGAAGCATCATTAAATGGAGATTCTTTCCAAGCATAATTAGAATTGGCAGCGCCTTTAGATACAAGTGTACATTCCCGAATGTCTGCACAATGTGGGAATTGTTCAAAAGCAAGGAAATGTGAAATAAATGAAAATAACTTCGGACATCGGAAAACGGTATGGGTTTTGCTACTTCAAAGATAAAAAAAATAAAACGTTTTGAATTTTTACTGGAGATGAAAAATGTATTCACTACAAAATCCCAAATGATGAAAGACCCGGGTTCGTCTAGGTCCGTCTGGCGGTACCAAAGTGTGTAATCTACTAAGAGCTGTCGCAATTGTGTCAGAAAATTAATACTTAACGTTACAAATAACAGGTAAACTATCTGAGCAACAAAATGTAGGAAAAAACCTTCTCATATGTCGAAAGGCACGACAAAGTTTTTTCCAACATAACGGAGATCTCCAACATGCTGCAAGACCAGTTCAAAAAATGCTAAAAGAAAATTACTAGGATACGTTGCGCCATCTTTAATATTCAACAGATATTGCTCCTTCAGACTGCTTTTTGTTTTGATCCATGCAGAGCATCTTTTCTCGAGAGCGGTTCAGTATTTTTGAGTACATCAAAAATTGGTTTGATGCCTAGATTGTTTTACTTCTTTCATCATGAAATGCTTCTACTGCCTGACAGCGGGGGAACAGTTATAGTTTTCCATGGAAAATAAATTGAATAAATCTTTCTTTCATTTTGAAAAACACGTATTTTATTACTCGAAAGATATTGGAATCATAATTAGAAACCAATGTGTAAATGTCTCAAAGTTTTCGTACTCCATTTTTCCTAATTAAATCAAAATCATAATTATCCATCTACATAAATTCCCATCTTAATCTGTGATTACCTCGTCATCCACTGATTAACACTGTTCAAAACGATCTTTGAAAGGTTTAACCGAGACGTGTAGTGATTGTACAATTGAAGCTATGCATTATGGAATATCCCCTTATCTTTCTTGGATAGTCTTCTTTATTTTTTATATAAGTGGTCACATTTCCTATCTACTCTTGTAGTTTCCATGTGAAAAATATTATGATAATATGTTTTCCAAAAATATCAAATGAAAATAAAATAATGATATAGTTTTCGAATTTGAAAGAAGAAAATATTATAAATTAATGAAAATAAATTTAATTTCTCACACACTATCGCAAAAAGCTCCAATAAGTTTTAATTAGAAAATTTATCGAACTGATTTGACTACAATAGGAATGAAGAGTTATTTATGCTCTCAGCAAAGAATAATTTTTTCTTTCTAATATACACGAGAAAAAGTAGACAGGTTTAGTAAGCAGAGTATTCTGTCTTCAGAACGCAGAATACTATCGAGAAAAGAAGGACAATTTTGTATTGCATTCCGATAATAAGGGTTTTTTCAATAACTGAATAACTAAAAATTAATCCGTAATGAGCTAGTATTTTAATCATCACTGATTTTCGCCAGCATTGAGATGAATCATTGTATATGATACTTAGTTCATTTGGAAAAGAAATATTAATATTAAATTGTTTAATTCATTCAATGCGTTTGATTTCACAAAGAGTTGTCTTCTGTTTAAACCAGGCAAATTTCAAACTTAAACTACCGTTAATGCAATGAAACTTAAATTACCATCAATATTATGTAAAAAAAACATGGAGTTTGAAGAATTTCGACACAGATGTCGAAATATGAAAGGTTTTGCATAAAATACTACTTAAAAATAATCAAGTTTGAAATTTTCCCTGAATTAAGTTTCAAGTTGCCATACATAAACTTATTATTAAACTATAAGTTTATTTTCTATAAAGTTTTTTTTCTTCGATTATGTCTAAGGTAATTAATTTAATTATAAAAAGATGGAATCATCAATGTCTTATACTTCTAATATTATATCAAACTATTAAGTTTCTTCCGAATCGTAATGACAAATTACTACAGAGATATTTCAACTTGTTGTTATCGCATAATTCTTAACATTTATTTTATCCTTTTTTCCTCGGTAAATTTATCTGAGTTTAATCCCCAAACAGTGCTTATATGCATAAATTTTCCTTACGTTAATACCATTAGAAAACATTAATAAAGCTTCATTCTTAAATAAAATTAATAAATTTCAATCAACAAAGCTATTTCTTCAGAAAGTTTTGTTAAATGATATTTCGAAATAAACTTTTTCCTCTCAAACAACTTCTACACATTTACCCCTAAAATATTCTCAAGATTTCATTCAAATTAAATTATCCTTTCAAATAATAAAATAGCAAAAAATAAATCTGGAGCTAGTATTAATTTAGGTTAATAACGAAAATTGAGTTAATGAACTATGAATTATTCATACAGCAGGGAATCGACATGAAAAGTTTTTTCGAAACTACACTCTTCTTCGTCTTCTTTTTAAAACAAACTTTGAAGTTTTTCCCTACACTTTGGTTTAGTAATTAAAGTCTTAGTTAATGTTTTTCGATGTTCTTTATACTTCCAGAGCCACACGCTTCCACTCTGCCAAGAGTTACATTCAGCCAAGCCCAAGTACGCACGGAAGAAGGATCCCCTGCTCAGTTACCCTGCGTCGCTCAGGGCAATCCGCCCCCTACGTACAGGTAAGTAACATTCTGCATTAAATTAAATGTATGCTAATCATAAAACACGCAAATGGTTGAAGAAAACCACGGTGATAAAGAATTTCTCAAAATTGAGGATAGATGGCATTGCGAGTTAAATATTTATTTATTATTTTTTTTTTGGACAATTCATGCGCCTAAAGCAAAGAAAATTATTACGTTCTTTCTGCTTAAACGCATACTGAACATATTTTCGCTGAATATGTTAAGTAATGAAGAAAGTCTCAGAAATACGATAATTAGAGTCTGGAATCGCTTTCCATTGGGAGTTATTAACGTCTGTTTTTAACCTTAACTTTCTGCACCGATGTTCCTAAATTATATTTCCTTCTTTTCTAATAATTAATGACCGTAATTAGGTGCACTTTTTATAAGCTCTTTGAAGGAAGTAATGCACGTTCGTGGTAATGAATCACAAGTGTAATCGGAATATTTTTGACAACTAGTCTTGTTTCGAATAAGAAATTCTGCCGAATCTCAATAAGGTAAGATAGGTAGAGCGTTGTGTTTAAAAATCTGTTTTTTGGGCGTTTTCTTCAATATATAAGTCGAATGAAGTATAATTTTTATTCAAAAGAAATAATATATTTGGTAAGTGAAAGCGCATTACAATACAGCTTTTTAAGTAAAGTTGGTAAAGAAACTCCTTTTTCATCTGTCAGCTAATGTACTTTTCTTTTCATGCTAAAATGTGAAAAGCACAGTTACGATGTCAACTAATCTTTGAAACGTTAAGCTACTTTTTAATTGTTTCTTAATTGATTTTCAAAAGACCTGAATTACATAAATAAGAGACATTGAAGACCAATGTATTCCTCGAATAGCTATGGGATATTCTTATTTTTAGCGCCAATGAGTTTAATACTTTAGAAACATAAGTGGAATAACTGTAAGAGAAAATTTTTGAATATCAAAATTTTTTTTGTGTTTTATTTAGTTTTAAACCTTAATTTGTAAAACAGTTTGTAGAGTCTAGTGAATGAACTTCTGTCTGTATACTGGAGAAGCAGGAAACTACACAGGAGAAGGGTAAAAGTACCCTTTAGTAACTCTTTAAATTTTACAATTCGTCAACTCGACGCTAACAAACTTCGCCTCTGCTTAGGCGGTAAGTGAAAGTCAGATAATTGAAACTAAAAGTTAAAATATTAACAAGTGATAAAACTAGCCTACAGGGCTCAGCGAGATCCTGTAACTTAAACCCGCTAGTGGCAGCAAAGCAATGCAATTAAGCCACTTGAACCAGCAATGAGCAAATGTACCTATGGCAGAGACAGCAGCTAGAGCCGTAATTCTCATCTTTCTCCTACCAAAACTTAGCTTTTAACTACTTCCTTCGAAGTAGAAAATTTGCATTTCCTTCCGCACGCTACAACATTTAACTATTCTGGCACTGAAAATTAGGGGAATGAAGGCTTACACGAAAGGTCTAAACTCAAACTTTAAATTGTTAGTTAAAATAAATATAAATCCCTACAAGTTAACAATTATTTGTTTATGTCGTTATAATATAGAAAAGTTGTAAAATATTGGAAATAATACAGTTTAATACAATTAAAAATTAAGATAACGAAATACGTTTCGAAGATACGATTACATTTACAGAAATAAATTTGTATATTTAATTATTTCGTTAAAAATTTTATTAATTTTTACAGACTCTTAATCCGATGCTTTTTCCTCTTAGAAAGTTGATTTGGTTTTTAAATGTGGATTATTTTATATTTTTTACAGCCAACTTATATAATTTCAATGGATTTCATTTTAGCAAGGGAATAAAACTAAGATTTATATTGTCGCGTAGATGAGGGGATTCTACAAATGAACAGGCAAGTACAAGTCGAAGCTCAAGACTTTTTATTAACTCTATCTGAATGAAGATCTACTTATATACAGCTGGTGAACATGCTGAAACATTCCATACTTGGAACGTTTTGGAAGAATAAGAAGGAAATTTACATAAATAAGATAACATTAACAAGAAGAAAATTTACATAAAAACCAATTATCAGGCATCTTGCCGTTGACGGGTTCCGAGTCCTACGCCTTTTTCGCTAAGCTATGAAGAGCTCGGTCGAAAAGAGCAATTTACTGCAATATTATCACTAATATATTGATTGATTGTGACTAATGTTTAAATTATTACTTTTATAATGATCTTCTAAAACGGAACAACAAGCATACTCGCAAGGGCATAACTATATAATTATATTTATTTTTTGAAAATAAATATTCTCTAGTAGCATTTCACATAATACCAAAATTTTCGTTAAAGGATGCAAATACGCGCTTTAGTTTGGGAAAGCAGCTTCTGATTTCAGTCCAAATAAAAACATCCAAATTAAGAATATTATTTCAGTAAAACATGGCTAAAAACAAACCGTTTGTCATTCTTTCAGCACGTAGAGTTAAACAGAGACATATCTTATTTAGTTGACACTAACTAGAGAAAATTACTTAGATGAAATGACTGTGATAGTTAAACCAGACATTTTACTGGGAAAGTGTTTCTCTCGTGTAAGAGATTATTTAAGTTAATTATTTCAGAAGAAACATTTTTCTGTTGGAAGTAGTTTCTCTCGAGAATTATCTACTCACTAATTTTTAATTCCTTATAATAAGTAACAAGTTTAATATTATGATGTTTTCCCTAAAATATATATATTTTAATACCACATACTGCTTTTAACAAAGTATGCTAAACTTTTTATGCTGCTCTTTACCTTAGGCTAGTTCTGTCTTTAATATAATATGCGGAATGTTTTTTATTTCTCATTCTCTTCTCTCTGAGACAGTTTTGTTGAGATTTCTCAGCTGCTTAATGCTATGTGTTTCTGCCGTTTATTTTTATTTTCAGTTGTTCTAAAAAATTCGACTTTTGATGTCTTAGCATGAGTTAGTCACCGTTGTGCTCATATCCTAAATTACATTGTAGAGTGCCTCATTCCTTATGTCTACGATAAAGGTGAAGGAACCTAGTGAATTATGTACCGACTTATCGCTGGGTTCAAGTAACTAAAATGTAGACTAAAGAAGGGTTAAACTACCCTTTATTTCACTCAAACTAAAATTAACTGTCGACCCCTTTCTCGGGCTTACAAAAATCATCTACTTGGGCATGAACTCAGAATAACAAATAAGAAATTTAACTATAAACTAAAGATGACTTAGCCGAAGCTAAACACAAGAATCTAACGTAACGTCTTATTTTCATAATCTGATCCGTATCTAACGCCTAAGACAGGCACAAGCTAAACATTTACGATTGTGCTACTTTAAGAAATAATACTTCAGAAAATCAAGACACAGAATATGGTAAAATATATTTAAAAGAAACTATTAAAATCCTCCCTTGATATTATTTCATCATAAATTATTTCTGGGTGAAGAATTAAATATTTATTTCATAAAGAAAAGGTTTAGGTATTGCAGATATAGTAGTACATTTATTTCACTGAGTAATTTTACCACGTTTGCCACACAATTTATGTGGCAATATTTTTATATCTTTATACGAAGTAAAGAAAATACTGTAATAGTGGGAAAAAAAGGACCAAAATTATTTTCTTTATTTTACGGACTGTAAAATGAATTTGTTCACAAGGATTTTTTTCTTGACGTCTATAAACACATATGTATGTATCTCGCATAGCATAAAAATGATTAACCGCAGACCATTGAAAATTTGTACATAGGAATGCTATAGCATCTAGCTTGGCCTACCTTTTTCATAGCAATTAGTGCACACCCATTCCCTTACCCGGCTTTGTGAAGTCTTACTTTTTTTTAATTATATGTTGAAAAATTGTACATTTTCTGCATTAAAGGCGATTGAATTATGTTGTAGTTAAGTTTCGGTTAATGTTTCTGTGACTTTAATTAATCTTCATCCAACCTGTCAACAATTTAAATGTGTAATTGGAGCTAAACCTAACGAGGTGGAATTTGTTTACATATGAATTTCTTAGTAATTAGAATTAAGTCCGTTGGTGCAGTAACTTCAGTGTCCACTGAGGAAAAATGTAGTTAAAATTCGGGGGACCGAAAATTTTATCTTTCTATCCGTTGGCCGAATTGCTTGTGTGCGCGTAGGAACACAAAGTTTAATTACAAAAATTGATTTCTTAACTATTTTAATTATATTCCATGTTTTAGGGGGCGGGTTTTCGTATTTTAAAATTTTTAATGAAGATTTTCTGAGCTTTTATGTAATTTTGTTTGTCTCGGACTGAGAACTGAATTAACTGCATTAGAAATATATTTCTAATGAAAGAGGAAATAAGTTTAAATAAAGTGCAGAAAAAATGTGTATAATTTAATTGGCCGTACAGGGAAGTCATATGCTGTACACATCAGATATTTTATTTTGGTAGGACGGCAAATCACTTTACTGAAAACTATAAAATCCTCGAATAATTTCTTTAGAGGTATTAAACAAAATAATGCACTAAACGTCTAGAGAGTGCTTGGTTTTCACACTGGCTGATAATTACTTAATTAATTATGTGAATAAGAGTCGTGCAGTTGATTTCAGTGACAATGATGTGTACGCAACTTTATGGGAGAAAGATGATGAAACTCATCCAGTGAATATATTCCTTGACTAGTATAGACAAATTTTTACATCAACAGATTCTCTAACTTTTGTCCTTGATAACTTTTTCCTTTAGTGATTAGCTCTGACTGACTTCAAAAGCTTAAAATACAACAACATTTACTGATTAATTATTTTAACTTCCACATTCTTTCTACGGCATGGTTCTTCGTTTCCAATTAAATTACTTAATCAAACATGAATTTCATTCGTCACATAAAGCAAATGCTAAGCAATATTCTGACATTTGGAACTAGATTTACTAATTATGAGTTTTCCATTTTCTCCGAATAAGTACTCATTGCACTTGTCACAAAAATAATTATAATTATTATTATCACTAACTCATTGATAACTTAGTTTGGGCGAGATCATTCCATCGGAA